ACACTGAATTAGTGACAATTATTAGTTATCATTGATAAATAATAATAAACGAATCAATGATAATCAATGATAATATTGCATCAACATTAATGAATCAATAATGAATTAATGATAACATTAAGTCAGTGATGGTTGTTAATGATCATTGATTACGAATTTTCACTTTTAATGACGATCAATGAAACAATAGATCAATGATGATCAATAATAATATTAAATCAATATTGGCATCAATGATTGAGGATTAAAGCGAGCATCAAGCTGCTAACCACGATTGTCAATTCTCTAGCAATTAAGAATCATTGAACATGATTTTTCGTATTTAATCAAGTCCAATGAATCAATAAATCAATAATAATCAATGATATTATCAATATTCATCAATATTGATGTAAATGAATCAACAATGGATCAGTGACAATTATTAGTTATCATTGATAATCAACGATAATATTGTATCAATGGATTAATAATGAATCAATGATAACATTAAGTCAGCAATGGTTGCTAATGATCATTGATTACAAATTTTTACTTTTAATGACGATCAATGATAGTCAAACAATAGATCAATGATGATTAATAATAATATTAAATCAATATTGGCATCAATAAATCAATGGATTAGTGATAATCAGTAATAATATTCAATGAATAATATTCAATTGGATATATTAATACTTATGACATTAATATGGATAATGGATCAGTAATAATTATTAGTTATGATTGATCAGAAATAATGAAAAAATGAATCAGCAATAATTGGTAGATATTAGTGGATATTGGTAATATTAATGAATCAGTGATAAATACTAGTAAACATTGATCAATTGTAATACTGAATTAATATCTTATTGGTAATCTTAATTATATGATTAAATCATTGTTTATGATTTTTGCTTTTAATTGATGATGATTGTTAGTCATCATCGATCAGTGACAATGTGTCAATGAAGTAATGAGAATATTGGATCGATAAATGATGAAATTGAAAGATCGATAATGAATTAATGAATACTGAATCGATATCGATAAATTAATGATAAAATTGAATCGATGATGGTTATTAGTAATCATTGACTATTATTTCTTTATTTTTCATCAATGACAGTAACTTAAGTCAATAGACCAATAATAATCAATATTGATATCAATGAATCAATGATGACTAGTAGTTATTATTTATCAATAATAATAGATCAATGCTGGTTATTAGTAATGATTAGATCATTGATTATGATTTTTTTACGTTTAATTAATGATGATTATTAGTCATCACTGATCAGTGAATCAATGAAGTAATGACAATATTGAATCAATATCGATGAATGAATCAATAATGAATCAATGATGATTATTAGTAAACATTGATCAATAATTAAAATTTTTAATCAACGATGATCATCAATAATTACTCATAGCTAATAATTGATTATCACGGTGTTAACAAATAATGAGTAATTGATTATCATAATGATCATCTAATTATAATATTTAATCAATAATTATCAGTAACAATAAGAAACTAAAGAGCAAACCTAAAAACAATTATTATTACACTTCACTATAATAAAATTACTAATTACATTACAAAGTGGAGTGGTGATCAGTTCTGAGATTTTTCATTTATTCAAGCCAATGGAATTCACTCTCTGTTTCAATTCTGATTTGACCATATATCGAGTAGGTGATATATCAGCAGGTGTAAAATCTTGGCTGTAAAATCGGTGGACCAGGTGCAACCGGAGTGGATTATTGACGTCCGCTGAGAGAAGACTAATTTAACGAGCGGCTCATGCAGAACCATAAACTCCGCGCAGAGTTAATTCCTAATTAGCTGGCTGTGAAACGTACGTGCACACATGCAGGCAATCTTTCGTGCGCGGTTTAATGTGACGATGAATGCTCGTGTATGATGTCAGTGAATGTATCTGGTAAGTTTCATTAAATATTCATCTGCAAGGTGCACTCGAATTTATGGGTGTACACAATGGCTCTTATTAACGTTCGTATATTATAGTGTTCCAGGGCTTACTATCAGTAGTCGACTTGACTTTTGTCACAAGAAACATTTACAGTGATACTTATGATACCATGTCGGAATAAAATGTACATTATTTATTGTAAAAAGAAAAAGGGAAATGCAAAAGATAAGATAAGATGTCTACAGGTATAACGCTTGTATAACAATTAATGTATATTTGTTAATATCTGTGTAATACATGCACAATAGTGTTAACAATATATAAGTTGATAATAGTTATTAATACACAGTGTAACAATTAATACATATTTGTTAATAAAACTTGTAATTAAATTTCATTGAAACCTTTCAATTAATGAACATATAAAATTCTAGTTCTAAATCAATGTCTGTATAATATATATGCTGCACAATGCAATATATAAATTATATATGCAACTGATACTTTAATGAAACTTGTAATTCAAATTTCATTCACCTAAACCCAAACTTGATCCTTGTCATAAGAAACATTTAGACATCACTTATTATAGAAAAAGTTAAGAACTATAAAAAAAAAAAACAGTTTTTATATAATTAATCTCAAATCTTTTGCTGTAATTCATGAATTCTATTAGATATGGGATCTATGAAATTTTCAATGGTATTAAATTTCAAGCAATATCACTCTTAAGCTTTCTTGATTGAATTTTACCTTCCTACAATCAATAATTTTTTTATATCTAACAACACTAACATTCTGCGTTTAACGTTTAGCAGTCTTTGTATTTCTTGGTGTCATCTTTATATTGAATTCTTTAGAAACAAATGCTCATTTTATTCTGATATGGCACTGTGCAATTTTAAATACTCGTTTGTCAATCAACTGAACTTTCACTGCTCCATGGAATTGCATAATATAATCAATGCAAACGCAAATACTTCTCAGAACAAAGAGAAATGGATTCACGTCACTCTCAAAATAAATATATGTCATAATTTTGATTTTTTATTACTGAAAAGTAACTGATTATTTAAATTATTCCTTTGAATGAATGCATACAATTAGAATTAATTGGAATTAATCCATTGTGATCATAATAATCATAATAATTAATAACTAGATTATTATTACAATTATAACAATTAACTAGAAATAGTCAGAATTAATTAAAATTAATAGTAATTATAAATAGAAGTAATTAGAATTAATAATTATAAAATGAATAATAAAGTTCTTGAAGAAAATAGATTTATCACCACCACTTTTCAAACAAATGATTAAAATGATATTTGTTGTATCCCAAACACATACAAAGATACATCTAACGAGAATGAATATAGAACTGAGAACAAAAAATCTAATTATCTTGGAATAACAGTATAAGCTCTGGAATTGCTTTTTATTAAACTACCAAGAATCAAAGTTGCTTTAATTCTTCAGGGACAACATGTAATGTTGATATAGAAGTTTTCATAATTTTTGTGAATTTCAATAATAATAATAATAGTAGTAGTATGTAATAACTAGATAAGTTTAATAATAATTTAATAATAGTTTTAAATTCTAAATAATTAAATAATAATTTTCGTAACTATAAATGGTCAGTAAATGATCACAATGGTTGATTTCGTTTGCACGTGAAATTTAATATTAAAATAACATCTGATGGAAGTCAATAAGATGCATAGACGTCGTTCTCGACAGATTAATGCAACATTTTGTTTAATATCTTTCTCAATTAATCATAGCATTCTGTCAGAAACTTCCATGTTTCAATATTGCAAGTATGAAAATGTAAAAATTCCAAACAAAGAGTTGCCTAATATTTCTCCATCGTTATGCATTTTACTTAAAGTTTGTAATTACAGTGAAATTTCAAGAAATTGGAGTATCTACAAAAAATTTCAAAATTGCAGATAACGCGTGATTCATCACATGAAAAGTACATAAAAAAGTGTACATCTGCAGGAAATAAAAAAATTACACATGGATGTGCTCTCTGTGCTTTGTATCTAAAATTACATCAGACAGTTGGGAACGAGTTTCTGCGATTTAATAGCTGTTTATCCGGATGGTATTTGCCTATTGGAACAGATTAACAGATTAGGACAAATGCAGATGCGAAGAGCGGGAATACACGAAGCATATTGAATGCTCCCGCATTTAATAGCGGTTCCAGAATATTCAATCACGCGAGCACACCGACGCGCAAAATTATACAGGAAATCGGCTGTATTTAGTATTGGATGTGCAAACTAAGTAGAGCGAATTATAATCACGTACGCGGATGCTTTCCTAATATCGTCCCGTTTATTGACGCCTGGCTTGTTGTGACAACGGTAGTGAAAAAGTAGCGGACATCGATTACTCTCATAGCATATCAAGCGTTTAAAAATATCGCAAAAATTTCTTTCTGTATTTATCCGCGTATCTCTAACCATTTGTTGTAATATTTAATTGTAGTTGTGATATTTATATTTGTAATATTTTTATTTAATATTTACATTTACCCTTCTCCAGTCGATATATAATAGATACATGTATCTTTTATATTATAACTAAATAATATAATATAATAAACCAATATATTGTAATAAAATAAATAATACAATATAACAACTAACTGATATAATACAATAAACCAATATATTATATATAATACAACATACAGTACAATATAATATATTATGATATACAATATTATGTTACAATACAATATATGATAGTATATTATAATATGTTATAGGTACTATAATATTAATGTGTATAAATTACAATAGCTGTTAAATATTATTCTAATACCGTGATAAATTATTATAATAAATTAAGACATCTATAATACAATATAT